AAGTCTGTAATTCTTCTCTTCTCCTGACTAAATGTCCTTAGCTCCATGAAGGACAGAGAGGACATAAGTAGGTGGGAAGAAGGAGGAAGCTGTTGAGAGGATGGAGTAGAAGCCCAGGGTATGATCCTTTGGCCCCTCTGCTGACCATTGTACCCCTGAGTTGTGATGGGGGAGAATACTCAGGGCCCCCCATGGGACTAGTCGGGAAAGGGTGATAGACAGGGAATGGAGGAGGGGAGGAAAGGAGGAGGGACAACTGAAGAGGCAGAAGGGAAATTGGAGAGCGACATGTGCCCAGGTCTCCTGGTTATCTCACTTCAAGCCTTGGCGTCTGTCCCAGAAGCTACTCATGTAGCCAGCCTCCATCGCTCGACTCTGTTTTCCCCTTGAGCAATTTGGCTCTGAGGCCACAGTGTCCTAGAGTAGCTGTGCCTCTTCCCTTCCTCCATATCTGCTGCCCTCTCTCATTCCAGAGGCCAACCAGCCCAACCCAGGATCTCAATCAGACCAGACTTTCAGATCTGGCCAGTCCCTCTCCCAGGGTGCCCCTCCTGGGTATGATCCCTGCCCACTCTCAGTCCTGGGAAGAGGTAACCACATCTCCTCCCACCCTATCCTGTGTCATAGTCTCCTAGACTCTCTTCCCTCAAGTCCTACCTAGACCTGAACGGGAATTCCCTCTCCCAAGTGGTCGTCCATCCTTCACTCAAAGACCTGCGAATGTAGGGAACCCATATCTCCCAAAGCAGCACATTCCCCTTTGGGAATTTTTCCTTATGTTGAGCCCCAACTTACCTCTTTGCGATTTCAACCCACTTGTCTTAGATCTGTCTTCTGGGAACGGCCAAAACAAGTAATCTTATAAAAGTAATCCTAATAAAAGTAATACCACAAAATAAAGCTAATAATAACTAGCACTTATATGGCAATTTAAGGTTTGCAAAGTGTTTTACACAAGCTATCTCATTTGATACTAAATAGTATTTCATTTTTATACTATTATTAATAATAATAGCTAAGTAGTCTAATCTCATATACAGACCTTGAAATACTTGAAGACAGCCATGTAAGTCTGTAATTCTTCTCTTCTCCTGACTAAATGTCCTTAGCTCCATCAATGCATCCTTGAACTGTTATTGTGGTGGTGGTGATGGTGGCGGTGGTGGTGGTGGTTTGTCTGTTTTTGAAGAGGACCAATGACATCACAGGTGATATTTTGACTTGCACATGAAATGGATTGAAGTGAGGCAGAGCTGCCCAAAGTGTAGTTAAGTAGAGATGGGATACTCCTCACTGGCACCTAACTTGGGGGTGGGAGGTGGGGGTGGGGGAGGTAGACAAGACTGGTGGGGGCTCCAGCAGTGGCATTAGAGAAGAGGCCCTCTGAATCCCTCAGGGTACCCCGAAAACCCTGAATGGGAGGTGCAGCAGCCTGGCCAGAGCATACTCACTACATCAGAATCATTTTTAAATGCATTAAGTATGTTAAAATACAAAGGAAATCAATTACATCAAAATATAGTTCCCACAATTAAAAATACTTCTTAGATATCCCCTCCCCCTCAAGTTAAGAAATCTTGACGTAGAGGGAGAAGAGAAGAGGGCCTGGGTCTCTTCCTTCACCTGGGAAGTTGGAAGAGGGACATGAGGCATTGGGGAGTGGGATGGATGTGAACTCCTGCTAGCAGAGGACAGCTGGAACAAACCACAGAAACAGAGCAAGTCCACCCTGGAGGCGGCACAATTATTGGAATGTTGAGGGATTAAATCTGAAGTTATCTGAAACAGAGGAGGATCCCCCACCAAATTACAAATGTTGTTACCCCTAGAAAAGTCGCTGAAAAAATATCAATAATTAATGGCCTACGTTGCTCCATCCTCACCTCTGTAGGAGAATAATCCACACATATGCCAAGGTATGAGAAGGGAACAGGCAGGTTTTCTCAAACTATAGTCTGTGATGGACCACATCTTTATGGTCACACTGAATGATGTAGAGATTACAAGATTGCTGTTCTATGTGCTGTTTGTACATTGCATATGGTAGAGCAGGGGGCATCTAGGTGGCATAAAGGATAGAGTGCCAGGCCTGGAGTCAGGAAGACCTGAGTTCAAATCTGGCCTCAGACACTTAGTAGCTATGTGACCCTGGGCAAGTCATTTCATCCTGTTTGCCTTAGTTTCCTCATCTGTAAAATAAGCTGGAGAAGGAAATGACAAACCACTCCAGTGTCTTTGCCAAGAAAACCCCAAATGGGGTCACAAAGTCAGACATGACTCATGGACTGGACAACAAAAATGGTAGAGCAAAATGCTGCTTCAATGGCTTTCCCCACCCATATATTCAAATCACACAGGACTGTGGGTGAGACCCAAACACAGAGAGAATTTTGTTCTAAGAACCTTTGATGATTAATATGAAGCAAAGTATAGAACGGGGAAGTCTATGTTCCCCAAAAGTATTTGTGGCTGTCATTCAGGACGTCTTGGTCAGAGCTCAAATTGAAGGAGGAGCCTCTATACTCCCTGATAAACTGTAAGCTCCAAGAGGGCAAGGACTGATGCATATTTGTCTTTGTATCTCAGCACCTTGGACAGCACGTGGCACCGAGCGGGCTTCGTAAATGCTTGTTGAGTGACGGAATCCATTTGTGCTAATTGCATCCAACCCATTGATTTCTACACGAGATTCATATTCACTCAGGGGAGTTCAACCTAATTATGCACACAAGAAAAATGAAGAGGGCGAAGAATGCCACTTATCTAGCCTCCTATGCAGCTGGTTGGACAGCTCCAAGAGCTGGTCCATCAGTGCATGTATCTGGGACGAGTCTGAAGGTGAAGAGCGAGCTAGAGCCTAGCTGCTAGGCTAAGCCATCCAAGCAGTCAGTCAAGTAGAATTTATTAAGCACCTACTATGTGCTGGGCACTGTACTAAACTGGGGGATACAGAGAAAGGTAAAGGACAGTCCTGTTCTTAAGGATAAAGAAAACAAAAGCTGACTAGATTGCATTTGAAAAGTTGGACAACGATTTTAAAGATCCCAAGCGAAACCAAACCCATCTTTTAAAGACTGTTATTCTTTGTGAGAATCGTGGAGAACAATAATCTCCAAAAAAAAAAAAAAAATCAATGCCTGGTGGGTGTCCTCAGGCTTCCACACACTACAAACAAAAGATTGAAACTGGTGGCCCGCCCCTCTCCAACTTGTCCATAAGGGTGTTTAGTGTGGTGAGAGATTTAGAGGCGCAAAGGTTTCCATGTTTCCAGAGTAAGAAACTGAGGCCATGCGGGGGGGGGGGGAAGGAATGACTCTCCCAAGATAATGGTAAGTGTTATCATTTATTTAAGAGTTACAGAGAGCTCTACATGAGTTATCCCATCTGATGTTATTTAGTATCAATGCGACATTGGTTATCTCACTTTACACTATCATCATTAATAGCTAGCATTTCTAGGTTCTTCAAGGCTTGCAAAGCCTTTATATACGCTATCTCTTTTAATATTATCATTAATAACAATAGCTAATGTTGACATAGTGCTTTGAGGTTTGCAAAGCCTTTGCATGTGATATTTCATTGGAGGGAGCCTCATAGCCAGCCCGGGAGGCAAGCGCTGTTTCCAAGATCCATTTTACGGAGGGGGAAGCTGAGGCCCAGAGAGGGTGAGGGATTTGCGCAGGGTCATGGTGTCTTTGGTAGAATTCGTACTGCGCTCTGTGCCCTGCGCCCCCTAGCGGCCCCTGCCCCTTCCAGGAGGCAGTGCCTAACGCCCTCTGCGAGGAAGGTGAGTATCTCCTCTCGCGCTTGCGCAGGCCAGGCGCCTCCCCACCCCCCCTTCCCTCCTCAGGAGGGGGGAGGGCCTCCCTCTGAGCCAATCAACGCAGGAGGAGGGCGGCCAGGGCTGGGGGAGGTTTCGGAGAAGGACCAGTGGAACCTATCCGAGGCCCCACCCCCAAGGAAACTCGTGCCAGTGCCCCAAGCCTCTGGTCCCACTGTCTCGTGCTTGTCTGCCCCCCACTGCGCCTGCGCGCCCAGGGCCCCGCCCCCCCCCATGCGCCTGCGCACCCCGGGCCTGGAGAGGGATGCGGGGCTTCAGAGGCTCGAGGCCAGGGCTGAGGGGCGCGAGCACGTGGCGGGGGAGGGAGAGCAGCCCCTCCCCCCTTTAGGGTCACGTGGAGGGGGAGGGGGGGTCGGTTGGGGAGGTAGGAACGGACTGTGGGGAGGGGAAGAGCCGCGGCCACAAGTGCCCCTTCCCTCTTTTAACCTACCCCTTTGGCCCACCCCTCACCCTCCCCTGACCCCCAAACCCTGACCTTCTCCTTCGTCCTTGACCCCTCGCCTCTGACCCTGACCCCTACACTCTGAACTTTTCTTGTCTCCGATCCCCAACCACCAGCCTCCCCCTGACCCCCACCCATGATCCTTGCCCTTCACCCCTGACCTTTAACCCCCACCCCCAACCTCGAATCCCTGACCCCTCCCTTCTGTTCCCATCCCCTGACCTCCGAACCCGACCCCTCCTCTTTGCCTCCTCCCAGACCTGGTCAGTGCCTGGCTTTTGACCTCTGGTCCTTCCTGAGAGCCCCTGCCCTATGGGATCTTCCCTGCTACTGCCTGCTTCAGCTCGCCTGTGGTCCCCAGACAGATAAAGGGGTGGTCCCAAGAGTTCCCCGTCTCCATGAGCATGCTGTCCTCCTGTTCTGTCACAGGCTGCCATGGAGCACCGGGGGCCGGACCCCCGACCAGTGCGGCCGGCTGACCGGTCAGCCCGCGTCCCGCACCGGAGGACCAAGCGGGAGCGGAACCAGGCCAGGGCCAGCAGAGGCCCCAGTGCCGCAGGCCCCCGGGCCCCCCGGGCTCGGCCTCGGTGCTTGCTGGCCCACAGGGACCTGGCCCCGGGCCCCCCCGCGCCCCAGCCTGTGGTCATCACCCAGGGCCGGCTGAGCCGGGCGCACCGGGGCCTCCTGAGCAGCGAGGTGAAGTCCCTGAATGTGGCCCGGCTGCTGAGTGGCCTGGCTGAGGAGGCGAGCAGCCCCCCACCCCAGGAGGCCCCAGACATTGGAGCAGCAACAGCACCACCCTCACACCCCACCTGGGGAGAGGAGCCCAGCCCGCCGCCGCCCAAGGACAAAGAGAACGAAGCTCCGGGAAGGCCCAGCCCAGGACCCCCCAGCCCTCGAACACTGCTGGAGGGGCTTCAGGCTCAACTGCATCTTCCTGGGGCCTTCCCCAGGCGCAATCTCGTGCAGGAGGCCCGAGCAGAGATAATCGGGGCCTTGCTGGCCCACCATGGGGAGCTGCCTGACCTCAGCCAGGTCCTCAGCGGCCTCAGGAAACAGGGAACAGGTGAGGATGAGCATCTTCCATCCTGCCTCATCACCCCCTGCTGGGCCTACTCCCCCCCCCACTCTAGCACCCCTTGCTCTGTCCATGCTGGCCGCCCAGTGAGTCTCTTCCCCACCTTTCTCCGTGTAGCCCCTTTGGTCTGGGACTTCTCCCGTTCCTGCTGGATGGGGGAGCCTCAGCTGCTTTATGCTCATGTTCTTCCTGCCAGTGCCAGAGCCCGGAAGCCCACAGGAGTGGAGGATGGGGCCCCGGGGTCGAGGCCACCCTGATCAGCACGCCCCGGTGGAGAGCAGCAGGAGGAAGAAGGGGAAAAGGGAACTTGTGTTTACCTTGGGGGCCACCCCCAGCCCACCTTCCACTGAGACGGTAAGACCTTCTCACCTGAGGGACATGGGGGTTGCTGGCTAAAGTGTTTGAGGGTAGAGGACGGGAAAGGCAGGTTGCTGTATGCCCACTGTCTTTCTTTGCATTCTTACCCACAGAGTCTGGTGCTGCCCCCGGACCCATGGGTGCCCTCACCCTCACCTCCACCCCCACCCCTTAGACCTGAGCATGGAGAGATGACTTGGGGCCCCCAGACATCATTTGATGTCCTGAAGAGCATCTGGCTGCCTGCTACCCCACCGACATGTGCCCCACCTTGGCAGTGGGGAGCTGGGGGGGCTCCCCATCCACCTGCATGTTTCCCCAACTCACAGTCCCTGGACTGGAGCCCTAGTCCCCCAGCCCCAATGCCTGGACTGCCCTGGTTTGTGTCCAGGAGCAGCCCAGAGCCCTGGACCTTCCCCCGCATGCGGCTCTATTGAGGGTGGAAGGCCTCCCCCAACGTGCCCCTCCATAAAGGAACTTGTTGAAAGTATTCCCATTTCTGGGAGATGGCAGCGGGCGGGGGAGAATTAGCTCCCACTCCCTCTTGGTGCTTTCATGTTCAATAATTTCAATAAAAATGTATGAAGAGCTCAGCACGTGGAAGATCCTGGGGACAGAAAGACAACAATGCCAGCATGCCCGTGCCCAGAAGCTTATGGAGTCTGGAGGGGTGCGGTGAGCACACCAATCTGTGTAGGGTCAGGACCAAGACCCACAGGTGTTCACCCCTGAGCAGAGCTTCAGGGGACACTGAGGATTCTAAGGGGGCAGAGGAGTTGGGATGGGAAGTTGGGGAGAAGAGTGAGTAGGTCGTTTTGGCTGGGGCACTGAATGGGTAAAGGAGAGTGAGATGGAGTAAGATGCAAAGGGCCAAAAGTCATCACTATGAGGAGGTAGCATTGAACCCTAAAGGTCCTGAGCTAGCTACCTGGGCTTGTGGCTGGCAGCTCTCTTGAGTTCTGTTGGCTGTGCCAAGCAGGGACGCTAAATTTGGCATTAATTATGCTGAGCAGGGGGCCATGAGGTTGTCTAAGGTCAGTCAGTCCATAAACATTTATTAAGTGCCTTCTGTGTGCCAGGCCCAGTAGATACAAAGGAAGGCAAAAGACAGTCACAGCCCTCAAGAAGCTCAGAGTCTAATGGGGAGAGACAATATGAAAACAACTGTGTACATACAAGCTGTATCAGGATCGATTGGGGTAATCAGAAGAGGGCAGTCACTGGAACTGAGGGGGAAAGGCCTCAGCAAATGGAAAGGTTTTATCTGGGACTTGAGGAAAGCCAATAGTTGGATCAAGGGGAGGATATTTCAGGCCTGGGGGACAGGCGAGAAAATGTCCAGAGTGAAGAGACAGAGGGTCTTGTTCATGGGACAACCAGGGATCTGGTGTTGCTGAATGGAAAAGTCCTCACTGAGGAGTCAGGTGTGAAAAGATTGGAGAGGTAGCAGGGGGCTAGGTTCTGAAGGGCTTTGAATGTCCAACAGGATTTTTTATTTGATCCCAGAGACAATAGGGAGCCCCTGGAGTTTATTGAGTAGGGGGTGAGATGGTCAGATCTTTGTTTTAGAGAAATCTCTTTAGTGGCTGAATGCAGGAAGGACAGGAGTGGAGAGAGACTTGAGGTAGGCAGAGCCACCAGCAGCTACTTCAGTAGTCCAGGGGGGAGGTGATGAGGACCGGGGTGAGGGACAGTGTCAGAGGAGAGGAGAGATGCTGCAAAAGTGACATCAACAGGCCTCGGCAACAGCCTGGGTATGGTGGGTAAGGGCGAGGAGTCCAGAATGACTCCTGGGCTGGGAGCCTGAGGGCCTGGAAGTGTGGTGTTGCCTCTACAGTAATAGGGAAGATGAGGGTCCGTGAAAGGAATGCGTCGGGAGAAAGTTTTGGACATGTTAGGTCTAAAGTGTCTATGAGACATCTACTTTGAATTGTGTAATAGGTAGTTGGAGTTGCTGAGTAAGTAGGTTTGAGAATCATCCCCATAAAGATAATAATTAAGTCCATGAGAACTGATGAGATCACCAGGTAAAGCAGTATGGAGGGTAAAGAGCAGAGGGCCCAGGACAGAGCCCTGAGGAACACCTATGGTTAGGGGGTGTGATCTGGAGAAGGAGACAGAGAGGGAGTGGGCATAGAAGCAGGAGAACAGAGAGAGAGAGAGAGGTGTCCTGAGAACCCAGAGAGAAGAGAGTATCAAAGAAGAGAGAGTGAACCACAGCGTCAAAGGCTGCAGAAAGGTCGAGGAGAATGAGGACTGAGAAAAGGCTGTTGGATTTGGCAACTAAGAAATCATTGGTAACTTTGGGGAGAGCAGCTTTAGTGGCATGAGGTCAGAAACTGGATTGTAAGGGGTTAAGAAATGAGAGGAAAGGAAGTAGAGGCATGGATTAGCCTTCTCAAGGAGTTTGGCCACAAAGAGGGGAGAAATGGGACCATAGCTAACAGTGATAGATCAAGTGAGGATGGGGAAGACGTGGGCATGTTTGTCAGCAATAAGGAGGCAACCAGTGGTTAGAGATTGAGGATGTGGGAGTGATAGAGGGAGCAGCCTGTTGGAATAGAGAGGATGGAATTAGGTTAGCTTGTACAGGTAGAGGGGTTTGCCTTGGCCAGGAGAAGGGCCTTTTGACGTGACGGGGGAAAGTAGAGATATCGGGGAAGGTGGCTGAGTGATGTGAGATGAGGCGGGAAGAGGGAGCTCATGGATAACAGCCTCAATTTTTTCAGCGAAATATGAAACAAGGGTCTCAGCTGAGAGGGCGGGAAGAAGGGTGACCATGGGAGGTTTGGAAGGGCTGCTCTGAAGAGGGGGATGGTGTCTTACTTTGGGAATTGTAAAAGCATTGCCCTGGCTGCCTGGAAGGCCCAGTTGAGGTTATGCAACATACATCCGTAGTGAACCTGTTCAGCAGGGCAACAGGCCCAGGTCAGAAGCAGAGCAGTAGGGGACTGGGCCCAGATCAGGCCGACCCCCTCCTTTTTAGCCTGATCTTAAAAGGTAGTCACTGAACCGTGGAATAGGGGAGTGACATGAGGGCCCTAAGAGGGCAGAGGAAACAGGATAGAGAGTTAGGGAGAAGAGCGAGCAGGTCATTTTGGCTGGGCCACTGAATGAGTGAAGAATTTTAAGAAGAGGGTTTCGTCTGGCCCTTGTATGGAGCACACGGTCTTTGGAGTGGGAAGCTAACAACTTGGAAAACATTTGCTGCGTCCTGGTGAGAGGGGGTGAACCAGGGGGGAGAAGAGAGTCTGGAGGCAGAGTGGACTTTCCAGAGGCAGCCATGTCTCTGGACTGGTACGCTGGTGATTTTTGTGCATGGAGACTGTTTGACTCATCTTCTGAGTCACTGACACTGTGGAAAGTCCTGTAGTCCATAGCACGGAACAGAAGCCCAGAGTGGGAAAAGAGTGTGCTGGGTTCCAGGGCGGGAGCGGGTGTTGGCAATTGTTAGCGTAAAGGGGTGCTGTTGACAACACATGTTGGTGAGGTAGCCAGAGCCCAAACGGTTATGTCCAGTTTACAGAGAGGTTAAGTTACCTGGCCAACATCACACTGCTAGTGGGCAACAGAACCGGGTCTCAAACCCAGGGCTCGTGTGCTGCTGAGTCCGGGGCTCTTTCCACCATGTCTCCCGAAAGCAGTCCACTGAGAAAAGGCAACAGAGGGGCCCTTGGGGAAGGTTGTCCCCCCAAGAGGGAAAGGGAAGGGGCTTAAATCCCTCATGGCCAAGTGTCCAGGGCTGGGAGTCTGGGAGGCCTGGGTTGGAAGCCTGGTTCTGCTGCCATTAGAGTGTGTGGCTTTTCCCCAAACCTTTCCCCCATGGGCCTCCATTCAGTAAAACTCAGTAAAATGACTGGTTCAGACTGAATGATCTCTGAGAGCAAAAAGGGCAGAGCTAGAAGGAGCTGCAGAGGACATCTAAGGCAGCTGCCCTGGAGGTCGAATGACCGTCCCTAGCTCACAAGCCAGCAGGGAAAGCCCACATGAGGATGCAGACCTCTGGACTCCAGGTCCAGATCTCTGGAAAGGTCTGGCCCAATCAGGTGCCCATCGGGAGCAGGGAATAGGAACCAAGGTCTGCAGAGGAGGGGGCTAGGGGAACAAGCCCTTCCCCTCGAGGTGGCTGGGTTGCCACTCGACACTAGGTTGCCCCGGATAGCAGCACGGAAAAGGGATGGGAGGGTCATAGGGGTAAAGTCCTACACCTGTAACCTCGAAGGCTGGCACAGAGGCGGAGGGATGGGGGAAGACAGGCGGCATCGGGGGGTCCACTTAGAAGAGGAGGTATGTGAGGAGGGGAGAAGGTGGCGGGCGCTGTGGAAGAATCCCACCTCACATCCCCGAAGGCCAGCGAGGAGGTGGGGGATGGGGGAGACAGGGGTTGGATCTGTCGAGAAGTTATGAGAGGGGGCGTGCGGTGGGAAAGTCAGGTCCTCGCAGCCTGGAGGCCAAAGTGGATGAAGGGGGATGAGAGGGAGGAAGGCGCGGGAGATGAGGATGGGTGCGGTGGGAGAGTCGGCTTCCCGAAAGCCCCAGAGGCCGGAGTGGAGTGAGAAGTTTGGGAAGGATGGGAGCGCAGAGGAGGAGCGTGGGCGCAGGGGCAGAATCCGGTCCTTGTAGCCCCTTAGGCCGGATCTGAGGAAGAGGGATGGGAGGGATGTGGGCGCGGGCAATGAATGGGGATGGGCACCGTGGAGGAGAGAAGGATGGGAGGGATAGGGGTGCAGGGCTCAGTGGCAGAGTCCGATCCTCGCAGCCCAGGAGGCCGGAGTGGAGATAGAGGGGTGGGAAGGATGGGGGTGCAGAGGTATGAGGTCGCTACGGAAAAGGATGGGCATGGTGGGAGAGCTCGACAGTCGCAGCCTCGGAGGTCCGAGCGGGGGAGGCGGGGCGGGGGAAGGACGGGGGAGGGGCCGGGCGGCGGCGGCGGCGCCCCTTTAATCGGGTGCGCGCGCGCGCTCGGCCCCGCCGGAGTCTCCGGAGCGGGAGCAGGATGGAGCCCCCGCGCGCGCCCGCGATGCTGATGCTGCTGCTGCCGCCTCTGCTGCTGCCGCTGCCCCCCTGCGCCTGGGGCAAGTACGTGCGGGGCAACCTCAGCTCCAAAGAGGTGAGCGCGCCGGGGCCCGAGCTCTAGCGGGAGCCGCCCTGAAACCCGGCCCCTCCCCCGCCCTGAAGCCCGGCCGTCCAGCGCTGGGCCCCGCCCCCGGGAGACCCTTTCCCCATCTCCATCTCCTCCCCTCTCGCCCCCAAGCTTTCGAAGACCCTTGCTCTGGGGCCCTCGGAGATTCTGGATCTGCCTGGGGGCGGGGCTGGGTGGGGGCGCGGCTAAAGAGGGTACCTGGGGAGAGGAGAGGGGGCCGCGGAAGGGACCGTGGGAGGGGAAGGGAAAGGGTCTCTAAGACAAGGAGGAAGGCTGGGAAGAGGGGCTGGCCTGAGGACAGTAGCACGTGGCGAGGGGAGGGGGCCTGGGAACTGAAGAGGGGAGAAGATGTTGGGGTAAGGGCCAGGGATTTCGGGTCCGCGGAGACTTTGAGATAAGGTCTGGGAAGATGTTGGGGTCCAGGCTAGGGAGATGTTGAGGTCCGGACTGATGGCTAAGGAGATGTTGGGGTCAGGGCCAGGAAGAGGTCAGGTCTGGGGAGACAATGGGGTGGGTGGGGGAGATGGGGTCAGGTCTGGAAAGATACTGAGGTCAAGGCAAGGGAGATGGGCTCAGGTCTGGAGAAATGTTAGGGTCAGATCGAAAGAGGATTTGGGAATGTTGGGCAGACTTGGGGGGGGGATAGGAACAGTGGTGCTGAGGGGAAGCTGGCGAGGCTCTGACCCTTTTCCTTCCCTAGGACTGGGTATTCCTGACAAGATTCTGCTTTCTCTCTGACTATGGCCGGCTGGACTTCAGGTTCAGATATCCCGAGGTGCAACTTTCCTCCCAAAAGCCCCGAGGCAAAATACCCCCAGGTCCCCAGGGGGAGGCCTCCCAGATTCTTGAAATGGGACTTTCTCCCCAAATCCCCATTTAAGACCCTCAAGTGGTGTTGGAAGGAGCACTGGATTGGAAGTCGGGGGACCTGGGTTCAAATGCTGTCTCCTGTCTATGATCTCTGATCTCGGCTGAGCCCTTTCCCTGTGGGGGCCTCTCCCTCCCCAGCTGAGTGAGAGGGATGGACAGCCTGGTCTTAACCCTGATGTAACTCCTCGAGTCTCCCAAGTGACACCTTCCCTGTGGCAAGCCTTGAGGTTCCCCCGCTCATCTTTCCCATCCCTGTGTTCACAGGCCAAGTGCTGTGAGAACATCCTTCTGTACTTTGATGACCCTTCCCAGTGGCCCGCAGTGTACAAGGCCCAAGACAAGGTGGGAGACCCCTAGGGAAAGTAAAAGGCTGGGACCTCGGACTGGTGGAGCCGAGGGAGAAGGGCTGCGGAGGGGTCGGGCTGGGAGGAGGTCAAAGCTTGGAGGTGGCACACTCACGCCCATGCCTCGGTACGGGCAGGACTGCTTGGCCAAAGAGGCGGTAATTCGGCCTGAGAACAACCAGGTGATCAACCTTACTACCCAGTACCCCTGGTCGGGCTGTCAAGTGAGTGGTGCAGGACCTGGGAGAGGGAGGGGGCGTGGCCTAAGATTTGGGGGCAGGGCCTGGGGGAAGAGTATGGGAAAACGGGACTGAGAATGGGAGGGGGGAGCCTGAACGTAACGGGGTGGGGCCCAAGAGTGAGAGAGGCAGAGATCGTCCCTCAAAAAGCATTTATTAAGCACTTACCGCGTGCTGGCAACTGTGCTCAGCGCTGGGGATGTAAGGGAAGTCAAGGGCGTCCCTGCCCTCATGGTGCTCACACTGTACTTGGCGAGTCAACGTGGATAGAATTGGATCCATACAAGTTGCGGAGTAACTGAGTAGATGGCAGATCATCTCCGAAAGGGGGTGGGGAGGTGGACTACGCCCTTGCTTCCTCGGGCTCCCCTTGGCAGATGGTGTCAGAGGGGGGCGTCCGCTACCTCAGCTGCTCCAGCGGCCGCAGCTTCCGCTCAGTGCGCGAGAGATGGTGGTACATCGCCCTCAGCAAGTGTGGGGTAAGGCGCCCCTGCCCGACACACGCCCCCCAGCTTGCCCACCCTGCCCCTGATGGCCCCCTGGCTCAGGCCCCCCTGCCACCCTGCAGGGGGATGGGCTGCAGCTGGAGTATGAGATGGTGCTGACCAACGGAAAGTCCTTCTGGACCCGACACTTCTCTGCTGATGAGTTTGGTGAGTCTGGAGACCTAGACCCCTCGTGTCTGTGAGGACACCAGGATGGTCCCCGCCCCGGGGTGGGGAGCGGCAGGACCCCGGGGCTCCTGGGCAACCATCTGAGCCCAAACTGATCCCTGCTATCCAGGGATCCTGGAGACGGACGTGACCTTCCTCCTCATCTTCACCCTCATCTTCCTCCTCTCCTGCTACTTTGGTTGTAAGTCACCACACAGAGGCGGGAGGAGAGGGGAGACCTCAGAGGATGGTGTGGCCTTGGGGGGTACCCCATGGACACCTCTCCCCCTCCCCCCTGACCCCAGACTTGCTGAAAGGCCGACAGCTGCTTCACACAACCTACAAGATGTTCATGGCAGCAGCAGGAGTAGAAGGTGAGAGCTGGGGGGGCTGGGAAACCAGAGTCCTTGAGGGGGCCCTGCTCAGGACTCTAAGGATTCTACTCCGCCACCACTCCCCACTTCTGGCCGTTGGATTCCAGTAAAGGCAAAGCTCTTTGAGGGCAGAAACTGCTCTTTTTGGTTTTGTCTTCTCGGTATGCAGGTGGTGCTTAATAAATGCATATTGACTGACTTGGCTTTGCCCTTTACAGTCCTCAGCCTCCTGTTTTTCTGCATATACTGGGGTCAATATGCCAGCAATGGCATCGGCAATGAGAGCCTGAAGATCGTGGGTGAGGATCGAACCGTCCAGGGCTGGGCACCAGTGAGGGCCTGGACAGGGGTCCTCTCTGAGCCCCTTCTCTCCCTTCCTCTCTCCCTCTCAGCCAAACTACTGTTTTCTGTCAGCTTCCTCATCTTCCTACTGATGCTGATCCTTCTGGGAAAAGGCTTCACCGTGACACGGTGCCTGGGCATGGGGACAAACCGGGCTCCCTGGCAGGCGGGGGTGGGGAGTGGAGGAATTTAGAAAA